AGCTTAAAGGTATTACATTCGTTTGTCAAGTATGTATTTTTCATATCAGCATGAGCAGATTCCTAATTACTGAATGCGTAATTGAACAGGAAAGGCAGCTGAACTCCCACCGCCGCGTAACATTTATCATACATTGCGTGCAGTGCTTTTAAAATACCGATTCCCTTACACACAAAATATGACTAATCTATGTATCCTTTCGATAGCCAACTATCGTATATAAGACATTTAAATACGGCATATAAAATACATTTAAATATTAATAACTATAACTATCTCTTAGTTATTAATATTTAAATAAAATTAACTTCGAATGATCTGTCATTAATGAATCACCGATGAAGGAAACATTTTGTCATTATACCACAGAACACTATTACTTCTAGCGAAGCATTATACCTACCTACCTAATTATACGAAAGTGCCTATTATTTATAACTAAAAATATTTTATAAATTATAAAATTAAACACACTTAGGTTCCATACCATGCACTTAATATTTTCTTTATCTTAAGGAAGCATACCATAGTAAAATCGATAATAAATAATATATAATTTAACGAACAAGTGTAAAAAATCCATGCGTAACATAGGTAGTCATAGCTGCATAAAGAATAAATCAGTCATTTTATTTCTACCAAGCACATGAAAATTAATGAAATTTGTCCCTAGTGACCTTCATTTTCCCAGTAACATTGACTGATATAAAATATACGCTAACGCAGTGAAGAACGGTTCAAAGCCTTTCTACTTTCGTTTTAAAATGCCGGTAAAAAAATAGCTGTTTACATTTTGTACGAATAATAAGCTTTAAGCCGGTACAAGGAATATATTTGTTGTGTTGCATGTACATGTAGCATAACAAATATTCTTACCACGCTATACCAGTAGCTATTTATTAACCGTTTAAAAAAAATACACTATTCACAAATTACATCAATTCGTCGATTAGTAAATAGTAATACTGAAGCTAAATACGTAAATATCGTGTTATTTATAATTAAACGTAAAAATCGCGTCACTGTTCACCAAGCACACACGCTGATAAGCTCACATTAACTCTCACGTGTCCGGCAGAAAACTGATGATATTTGCACTCTTTGCAGTCTGCAGTACGAAATTGGCACGAATTCAGTGTTGCGGTGAGATTTGACAAGATTCTCGTACATGCCTTCCGGAATATTTTTGCAACATTCTGTCCGTATGTAGTCATTCTCGAGTATACATTTTAGTTTAAAATTTTATACAAATATGATTTGCTAATTATCTTTTTTTTAAATAGTATCACGTACCAATTTTATTCTTTAAAATATGTATCAGTAGACGAATGTGTCAATCCTAAAGGATCTTAATGTTAAAACTAAACTTTCCACAATATGCATTCGTAGAATACTGGAATTCTTTGGATACATTTCTCGAAAGGAGGGTCACAATCTTGAGCAGCTGATGGTAACGGGCAAAATAGAGGGCACGATGCCCTCCTCGAGGCTAAGGATCAATTTTGAACAGTGTGGGTCCTCATTCATCATAGACTCGGTGATTGGTGGGTAATTAACCTAAGGTACCGTTATTGGTAATATTTTGTTAGAATGAGCTTCCGCATAATTACACCACAACAAATTTAATGTAACTAACCATGATAGTAGTCGGATGAGTGAAATCGGGGAGTAAATACTCGAACAAATAATACTACGGGGGCGCGGGTCTGGCCTCGGAGCAACCCCCTCTGCTCAGGTAGTCTGCGAGGTAGGGGTGAGATAACGAAGTAGGGGTAAGTAAACGAGATAGGGTTTTTTTCCTACCTATGCTGATAGTCTTGAGAGGCTATTTCAGCTTCACCCTAACGTGTAGGTGCGCTCACAGGGCTCAAACCGGAGTGTTGCTAACACTGGCCCTAGCAAGAGCAGTGCTTCGCAGAATCTACCCCCGGATCTAAAACGCGACCCACTGAGAAGATCCGGCAAGAAACTCAGTGGGCTCGTAGGGGTGAGATAACGAGGTAGGTATGAGACAGTAAATACTATATTTCGTTTTAAGCCAGGAGGAGAATTTGACAATTTGTTCGGAAAAAAATTACCATTACTCTACTTCATACGTCAAATTGATTATGTAAGTAATTTAATAGATAAGTTATTAAACTGTCTTTGAGACATTGTCACCTCAAATATATTTAATTGGTAACAACGTATGCAAATGTTTTATCTTTTATTTCTAGAAAAGGCTTATTTATTTTGTAGTTTACATATTTGTTAATTTCCACTATTTTACTGCTAAAAGTCTTAAATTTCATAGGAATATATCAAGCTGGCAGCCTTTTTGGCGTTGAATACGTTGAATGTGGCGGTCGTTCACGGTTAAGCAGGCGCAGAGCTACGAATACGGTGATTGGAGGAAATGTGGCGCGATATTTTGACCACGTCACTCGCTCGCTTGCTAACCCACCACGACACGATGTAGCCCGCTATGATCACGCGATGTGGGGTCTAACCATCGCGTGATCTCACTATGTATTGTTTATTTATCTTACAAAAAACGATATAGTTCTATATTACCTTAATAGACTATATAAATGTCGATACTTCTTTAATCTCTATGAAGCTAATAACGTAGAAGGTATAATTTCAAAACTACATATATAATTTACTTCACTTAATCACCTTAATTTCCTTAACAATTTAATAAACCGCGCGCTTCAAAATGCGACCGATAAAGAATTAAATTAGCATTAATTTGTATATTTTAGATTCAGAATATTCCCATAAGAATGAATTTAAGATTAGCGTGTTCTTGGTTAAACGAATAAGGTTGCTTATTATAACACCTATCATTGATTTAATGATAAAAAGGTAGGTAGGTACGTAAGTACTACTCGACATGTTTTGAATAATTACTGCTTTTGTAAAGCTCTGTAAATTGATTGATCGATTGTTTAATGTTTCAAGGCTTGTGTGAAATTTTATTAATGAGATTTATCATGTAGGTACTCAAAAATTCGTGTAGAACAAGAAATACTTACCCACACCAAGTTGGGCGCATGGATTGTAGTAGGAAGGTAGTGTTTATGGTTTTGGTACCATACCCTAAAAAACTAAGAAAATTATGGTTGTTTTTGGTTTTAATATGTAAAGTTGTTAGAAAAATGTACAATAGTACATTCTCAATTGAATATTGAAGTAGGTACCTGGGTAAAAAGGGTTAGAAAAAATTTAATACATAGTCTACACATTTGCGTATTGTTAATCAATCACAAAAATATGTTTGTACGGTTCGATTTTTTGATTCAAAAGAATCAAATTTCGTACAAAGATAGTTTATAACCTGTACTTAGCAGATTTTTAATCACGATAAATGGGTTGACCAAATGAACGCCGGGTATTTTTTTTATTGCTTAGATGGGTGGACGAGATCACAGCCCACCTGGTGTTAAGTGGTTACTGAAGCCCATAGACATTTACAACGTAAATGCGCCACCCACCTTGAGATATAAGTTCTAAGGTCTCAGTATAGTTACAACGGCTGCCCCACCCTTCAAACCGAAACGCATATCTATACTATATTAATACGACAGTGTGTTTAATGTTCTGTGACTTACGTATCGAATCTACAAATTGTACTTCATGAACCAGTAAATATTATCTATCTATTAGCCCACTGATGTCCGTCCACAGCTGGACTTGGACACCCCCAAACCTCGCCACAACGATCGGTCCTGCGCTGTTTGCATCCAGCGGATCCCTGCGAATCTCGAGTCGTCGGTACTAGTCGGAGGGCTACGCTACGTCTTCCGGTTCGCAGACGTCACTTTTCAGCCCCAGTGGCCATCTGTTTTAAGAGCAATGTGCCCTGCCCACTGCCACCTCAACGTCGCAATCCTTTGGCATATGTCGGTTATTATGTCTCGTGGCGTGCAACCTCTTTGACAGGACATAAGACCTACAACGACTAGACACAGACTAAAACAGACACTTGACAAGAATTCAAAAATAAAGAGAGAAATGGAACGAGGGCGGACGTGACTAGCGGTAGGCAGTACATTTTTTGACTTCCTTAAAGACGGACACAAACGAGACGACAAGGAACGAATTTACCGTTCTCATATACATATAAGTAAAATAGTCGACAAACGAAACGAAACGACCGTTCAAGTAATCCTTCGACCGTTCATTATGTTTTTCCTCTCGCAGGGAAACTCCGAATGCTATACTCTACATTGATCTTTGGATGACCTTGAGCCTTCTGATAAGGCCCATTGTGAGCGACCACGTCTTAGTGCTATATGTCATCACTGGCAACTCACACTTGTCAAAGACTTTCATTAATGTTGCTGTTAATGATACGAGCAACTATTTATCGATTACAAATTTAACGTGGGTGAAGCCGCGGGGTGGTGTAGTTAATTCATTTAGGCTAATACATGGAAGAACCCCAAGAAATTGTTTAAAGTTTGTCTTCAAGCGACAGGATTTGTCATCGGTCTATCTACTTAAGTAGTAGCGTACTTTCGAGTTATCAGTAGAAGGTATTATATTTGTGAAGCAATCAGTCTTGATGTCTTGAAATGGGTGGCGACATAAAGTGAATGACGTTATTAGCTTATGACCTGAGGTGCAAATCTTAGTAGTATTGTAATAAAGCTATCATACTGTTCAGACCGAAAAGATGGTACTTACACGTACAGAATTACAATGCGCCCTACAACAAGTAAAAACAGGGAGAAGATCGGGAATATTTGAGGTTTATTCTGCTATTAGGGATGATTTCAAAATTTTCATCTATCATCTTTGATAATGTCGGTAAATTGTATCTGTGATTTCAGACAACTTCAATAAACACTTTAATTTCATTTTATTAGCGAGCTAGAGGTCATTGACTCGGCCTCAGTTGCCTTGGATTTTGGCCGTCTATTCAGAAACTACAGTGGTGTAACACTTGTAAAATTGAGACATGATAACTTTTAAAAATCAAAAACTTCGAATTACTTTTTGGAATTAACATTTATTACAAAAGTTTAGATAAAATAAACTGCATCATTCTAAAATGTACTCAAACAATAAAATTTTAATCGACAATTTATTATAGAATCATCATCATTCACAACTAATCAACACATTCATTTTCATTTTTGTATATATTAAAATACAATAAACATATATTATTATAAGATAGACAGTGTGTTTTTATTTAAATTATTTTGAATGTGATATTTATATTGTGAGATTATAAATCAAATTTTTTTATAATTTTTTATAAAATACATTTTATTTGATATCCGTGTAATTCAAAAAGTTTAGTCATCATATTCGCGAGCTATTAAACAAGCAGGCCATTGTGAAGTCAACGTCGGCAGCAGCGCCGCCGGACAAAGTAACAGTTCTTGAACTGACCCCAAAGTATAACTGCCGAGACAATTTAGCGCCCACTCGTAGTTAACTGGTACGATGCTCTGCTCCATTGCGAGGTCTGTAAAACATCATCGGTACATTCACTTGTCTACGGGGAACATAGAGTGATATATTTTCATAAGGTACTTTTTTTTTTTGTATTGTATTCAATCTTCGAGCCGATGAATTGCCAATGTTACGTACGCCATTAGTGTCACATGCATCAGGCCATAAATTAATTAGTTATGTTATTTTCAATGTTAAATGTTTGTGATGTGGCAGTACTTTTTTAAAATAAATAATTAAATAAATGATAAAAAGCTATTTGGTTTAAGCGACAATTTTGCAACTTTACAGACGAGCCATTTAACGGGTTAAAATTTGCAAAAAATATCGTAACAAAAAAAAACTTCTTCAGCTATTTCAATAGGGTAAACTTAATTGAAGTTCAATTAAAAGCATCGAATTGTTGATGCTAATATCAAATAAAAGGACATTTAATTACAAAGAAAAAAGTAGCTTAAATCAAATAGCCTTTCACCCCTCGATATGGTTTTCCTTAAATATTTATATAAAGCTCACGGGGCACAAACCGGAAGTTTTGCTACCACTGGCCCTAGTAATAGAATTTGCTTATTCTATCACCGGATCGGAAACGCGACCCACTGAAAAGATCCGACGAGAAACACAGTGGGCTGTGTCTATGGGCTTATCATCCTGCATTGGAATATGACATGAGTTTTACGACCGACCTCTTGCGTGATGTTAACCCTCTTTGGACTATCCATAAAAAAATTACGTGTTAATTTTATTGTATCTTATCTTTCTTATACCTTTAAACGAGCAATTCTTGTATATATATAATCTGAATCTCGGAAACGACTCCAACGATTTTCATAAAATTTAGTATACAGGGGATTTCGGGGGCGATAAATCGATCTAGCTACGATTTATTTTCAGAAAATGTTGTATTATTCGTGTTTTCAATAATCAACTCTTCCCGACATCTATTGGCGCATAATAATACTATTTTTCTTAATTGAGGGCAACTAACCGCTTTAAAGATAAAACAAGATGGCGTTAACAAAAAAAAAAAAAGACCAAGCAAAGCTCGGTCATAATCTATTAGGTACTGACATATGAAACGATCCTCTTGCGTATTCTCGGGCTCGGCAAGTAGTAAGGCGGGACCAGGTGCGTCCTTACTAATACGAACATATTTCGGATCAGTCACGACACGGCCACCTGCGGCTTCCAGCATGCTCTGTAGAAAAGGAATAATTGAGTAAATACCTAAGTCTTTGTAAAAAGTATCCGTATACCAATGTTTGAACTAATTCTAAATATCAGTTATTGTTTACACTATTTTACCTTACCACGAGTTTACATGGTTAAATAGATTGAAGCACTCTTGGCTTGTTCATAAAATACTCGGTGTAATTGGGCGATTGTTCGTAATTCAATAATCCTCAGACAGCCACAAAATTTTCAAAGTAAATAAATATAAATATTTACTAACAATCACGCCACGTTAACTGGTTCCGTGATAAGTTCGTAAAGAACTTGTGTTACAGGTACCAACTAACGGAAATAAATGTAAGATTTTTATTATACACATACATATATTTTATATACACCCATAACCCTGGAAAGACATTTATATTTATCATACAAATATCTTCCCTTGGCGGGATTCGAACCCGCGACCCCTTGTGTAGTGACCATGTCACTTACCACTACACCAGACGGCCGTTACATACGTTAAATACAATTGAAATATCAATTTTTATTCCTAGCTAGTAATGGCCTAGTGTAGTTTAGTCTCACATAGTTCATTCTTAATTTTATGACAATTTATGATCTGGAGTCCGAGACCAAAGAGGTTATCTCATTTGTTTCGAAACAAAGGCTTCTCACGCCGTACACAAATTACGTTTCAAATAATCATTATTTTCAAATGGAAACTTTATAGGTATAAACTTATTATTATTTTGTTACACAATCCCCAACAACAACTAACGAAACTAACAACAACTAACAAAATTGGCCACGTCATTGTAGGGTTCAACGTGCAACGCGGTAGGTAGCGGCTTGGTTCTGTTCCTAGCATTGCTGACGTTCATGAGCGACGGTAACCACTCACCATCAGATAGCCGGACACTTGTATGCCTATAAGTGTAACAAAAACACTGACCAAAGAAGGTATTATTATGATTTTGTTCCTTCGTGTCAACAATATTTGCAATAACATACAATATTACACCATTTAATAGATACTACAATCGTCGTCAACATGTGTATTATTATTATGATTCATATGAAATGTAATCTTTGTTACTTTTGCACAATACATTTTTGCGCATTAAAATATTAGAAAATGTACTGTATAGTATAAGTGTTATATTTGTTTATAGCTTATGTTTATAGTAAATCGGGGGTGAACGGCTAATTGGTTTAACCGACCTTTATCTTTGTAATTAAAGGCGCGTTTTATTTGATTTTAGCATCATCAGTTTGAAGTTTTTAATTTAACTTAAATTAAGTTTACTTCAATCAAATAGCTGAAGAAGTTTCTTTATTATTATTATTTTTTCCAAAATTTAAACCTTAAGTGGCTATTCTGTAAAGTTGCAAAAACGTCGCTTAAACCAAATAGTCTTTCACCCCTCGATGTGCTATATGAAACATCGAACAGTCATTATTGGAATTTCTCGCCGGATCTTCTCAGTGGGTCGCGTTTCCGATCCGGTGGTAGATTCTGCGAAGCACGGCTCTTGCTAGGGTTCGTGTTAGCAACGTCGTCAGGTTTGAGCCCCGCGAGCTCACCTACTAGTTAAGGTTACGCTGAAATAGCCTCTCAAGGCTAGCTTAGGTATGAAAAAAAAAAGGAATTTCTGGAAGTTTCTGGCATACGATAGAATACGATAGATAGTCCGCGAGTAACTAACAATAAATTTATTTGTTGTTTTTATTGTTGATACTAGTCAAGGCTTTATATAATATACTATATATTAAGGTGAAGTTATCAAATTATTGTAATGTCATAGGACCTTTATGCGTGACCACATTTTCAAGTCAATCGGACGTATGAAGGCGGAAAAACTAACTTTCAAAGATTCCGTTCAAAACAAACATAACATGCTAACAAAAGCATGTTAAAATAATCATACAAGTGTATATTATATGCTAGTAATAAAATAATATATTGGTTTCAATTTGTTTTGCTTTTTCTAGATCCTGTTTTAAATCCTCTTAAGAATTTTATTGTAATGATTTTTTATCAAAATAGATATGACAGGAAAATTATAAAGGTCGCAATTTTACTTTATCATTTGTTTGTGTTTCTATAACACGTTTCATGATGAACATTGATACTAAATATTACAGTTCAGATATCTGTTTGGCTTTCCTGTTTCTAGGATTAGTTCGTTTTCCAAATATGATTAATTGTCTATTACATACAGGTTGTGGTCCACCGAAATACTTTCTTTACAATTTATTTTAATTATATTAGCGTCGATAGGAAAAATTATCTGATTTAAAATGGTTATTGGCACCTACAGATGTGAAATCCATCTGCTTAAGGCATGAGAATGAAGATTCAAATTTATTGGAATCATCATTATCCTGCCCTTCTCCCAGCTCCTGGGGTCGGCGCAACATGTTTTCTCCTTCCATACTCTTCACTCATATACCATTTCTTCGCTCACTCACCCATATCGTCTTTCACGCAATCCATCCATTTCTTCTTAGGTCTACCTCTTCCTTTATATCCTTCCACATTCATAGTTAACACTCTCTTACCAACATCATTTTCATTTCGTCTCATCACATGTCCATACCATCCCAAACGCGCACTTCTCAGCTTCTCTGTTACAGGTGTCACTTTCAGACTTCCTCTAACATATTCATTCCGTATTCTATCCATTCTCGTTACTCCACACATCCAATCGCGATATGGTGTACCGTGTTGGCAACAACCCGGGTATACGTTTCCGTAGTGGTACCGCTCTAACCATAATATTTATTCTTAAAAATAGAGACAATAGAGAATAGAAATCAAATCAGGATAAATAAATAAAAGTATTAAAAACCTTTTGTTTTCCCCTACCTATGCTGATAGCCTTGAGAGGCTATTTCAGTTTCTCAGTGGGCTGTGTCTATGGGTTAATTTACTTAACGATGACCGGGTTTAAGCCTGCAAAGGCTTGTGAGCCTGCGTGGTTATTGTACCACCACCGACCTGACGACTATTTCTGCTGTAAACCATAAATTGCTGCAAATTCTGGTTCGAAAAGAGGAACAGCGGTTATATTATACTATTGAGATTTAGACTTTAGATTTTTCGGAATGGGGGCTGAACTACATACGCTGTGTTCGCGCTTAGGGCTGTGCGCTGTATGTGGGACTTCATGGTTTGTAGATGTTTTAGGGCCCACCAAACCACTCAGCTTGCACCGTCTTACCCAACGTTCGCCCAGGGTAAGAATCCAGGCAGAGTAGGGGGTTTCCCGCGGTCAATTTACAACCAGACTCGCGGCGCCATCTCTAGGTCATCAGACCGACTGGTCTTCGAGGCGACAGTCAACGACTTTACGTCGGGCGCCGCCGGGCCCAACCTTCGGATCTTACAAACGACAAATGATTGAGATTTAGTCCTCGTGTCTCATGGTTGCTGGTTTCGCTCAAGGTGTGATATCTATGAGCTCTAGTAAGCACTGAGCGTGGAAAAAAATAACGTGGTTCAAGGAGGCTGTGGGTTCAAACCCCTGTCAGTTTAATAACAACCGAACTATTCTCGCTTTGTATCCTTGGCATTCTTGATAGAAAAATAATATTAGGTATTGATAGACAGAGAAGCTCTAGTTTAATATAGATTTGTTTTTGGGATGATAACCCGAAGGCTTTTCTAACTTCGCCAGGATAGATAGGCGAATTCAAGGGCTCAACCAGGACCGGATGGTTCGCTAAAATATCTTCGAATACCTCCACAGGAGACTCAACGGATCGTTGGTTCGCGAATGCATCTGCTACCGGATTGAAATCGTGTCCTGCTGAGAACATCCGGCAAGAAACTCAGCGCACTGATATGATGGTCTCATATTGATCTTTTCGACAAGCGCGATAAGTACGGTGACTTGTGCGATTCCTGATCCTATCCTTAAGAGCTAGAAGCAATGATGTAAACGGATCTCGTGGATCTGTAAGTACATGTCGCCGGTGATTGGCTCCTGTACGAGCCCGATTAGGGCTGTAGCTCGAGGCACCCTGTAGGGCTGGAACTAGTAGTTTCTTAAATTTCTGGATCAAGTATAATATACGACAGGCAAGGTAAGTAGGTAAAGCGAACGTGACTTTGAAACGTGAATTGAATTCTCGACGATTACTCAATTGGAATTCGGAGCTAGTTTTACAAACGCTCTAACAGCAGTTACTAACATTTAATTTCTCTTGATATTATTATTACCTCACGAGCACATGCTTGAATACATTTCAAACTAGGTATATTTATAGATTACAAAAAAAAAAAAATTGTACCAGTAATAACATGTAACGGGCCTCTGCCATTTATAATAGATAGAAATTAGATAGATAGATAGATAGATACAGATAGATAGAAATTAAAGAAACGCAATTACCCCGAGATAAATTGAATAAGCCTCTGATAGTGTATATTCCGTCTTGATTATTGTTAATCTGATAGTGTAGTTTTTCTAGTTCGTGTAGAAATAGCGAATGCGAGTAAAGCTGTCCGTTTTCATACTGATATGAGAGAGTTGTTCTATATGAAATCCGCAAAATTATAATTTGCGTAATTACTGGTGGTAGGACCTTTTGTGAGTCCGCACGGGTAGGTCCCACCGCCCTTATTTCTGCCGTGAAGCAGTAATGCGTTACGGTTTGAAAGGTGGGGCAGCCGTTGTAACTATACTGAGACCTTAGAACTTATATCTCAAGGTGGGTGGCGCATTTACGTTGTAGATGTCCATGGGCTCCAGTAACTCTTAACACCAGGTGGGCTGTGAGCTCGTGCAGCCATCTAAGCAATAAAAAAATACATATATTAGATGCAGCAAAATATAATTGAAGCAACGATTGAGTGATGATTCGGTACCTCTTCTTCGTCCAACCTGCCTATTTTTTTTTTCCAGGCTGGGGGCCGAACCTCCTACGAGGTCCTCGCGCCGCGCTAGGGGGCGCGCGGGGTAAGTGGGACTTGACGATCTGCAAGGTGTTCGGAGCAGACCGCGTGCCTAAGGAATTTTAGGGCCCTACCGCACTAAGCGACTCCCCTGCGCTCTTACACCCGACAACCGATCTCCGTCCGGGGTCAGAACCCGTTCCCTTTTTTTTCTTCCCTAAACTGAGAGCCTTGAGAGGCTATTTCAGCGTAACCTTAACTAGTAGGTGAGCTTACGGGGCTCAAACCTAATGACGTTGCTAACACGAACCCTAGCAAGAGCCGTGCTTCGCAGAATCTACCACCGGTTCGGAAACGCGGCCCACTAAGAAGATCCGGCAAGAAACTCAGTGGGCTGTGTCTGAGGGTTAATTTACTCGTCGAGCCCTTCGTCGCAAGCGACGGGTTCGACGAGAACAATGACCTTGTTGAACAACGAATGGTGCTTGAGGTACCTAAAAGCACCGTTAGTTGATCGGGAGGATCCGAAATGACGTGTTTGGGGCGACGTCGACTACTTCCCATTCTGTCCGTAGGATCGGGAATGCAGTTACCAGCGGCCACGATGAGGGGATTCTCGTGTCGTGCCGCTTTATCGAAGTGGAGGGGGTTCCCGCGGTCAACACTAAAACCAGATACGCAGTGCCACCCCGCGGCTCCCGGGCGATGCCGCTGGTGTTCCGGGATACCGCGCTGGGCCAAGACAAGCCTGCCAGGTCGGAACGCGATACACTGCCGACCGGAACCTGTCTATCTAGTCCAAGCTAATAGATTATTACTTAAGTTTACCTTTAGAGTTTGAAGATCTAGTACGGTAAATGACGGCATACAGTAGAATGTGATTCCATGGAATAGCTTCCGTTTCGAGATACGCGACCGCTTCGGTCCGGGCTCCCCCGTGCTGTCCAGAGCTTCATAGGGTGCCTATAAGTAATTCCAATGTTAAGTATCGAAATATACTTGTTATTTTTTTTGTTTATTGCCCTTGTAGGCAGACGAGCATACGGCCCACCTGATGGTGAGTGGTTACCGTCCCCCATGGACTTCAGCAACGGCAGGGGCAGAGCCAAGCCGCTGCCTGCCTACTGTTTTAAGTAGCAATTGGAAGTATGGGTATAGTATGGTAAATATTTTATATCAATTTTTTTTTATTGCTTGAGCGTGTGGACTAACTCACGGCTCACCTGGTGTTAGTGGTTACCGGAGGCTATAGACATCTACAAATAGTGCTATAGTAAGATTTTACATAAGATAATACTTACCTCGTCGACATATTTCTTAAGATGCAAGCACTTTTCCACCCACTCAAATGAAACTATCCATTTGCCTGCCGCCAAAGCACACATGTATTTAACAGATCTGAAATGCCAGATTAATGTGTATTAACTAAATGAATATTTGAAATTGCGTTAATAATAATAATAAATTTATTTTAGTACCTTTGTGATTTTTTCTCTTCATCAACGCCAACAACTAAATGTGTTAAATTATTTGTATATTTATCTACGTAGCACCATTTATTTTCAGAGCAGAGGACTTTGAGTTTTTTAAGTTCAGCTGATGTCAAACAAGATCCCGCGACACAAAAATCTTTATTATTAAGCATTGAGTTACAGGAACCCAGAGCTCTTGCTATCTGTGTGGTCTGAGATTTGTCGAAAATTTTCTTCATAAATTCTTTTTCCTGGGTGTTTTCCGGAAGCGCTTCCGTTGGAGGACAAAATGTCTGTTCTGGATCATCATTAACATTGATTTGCTCACTCTCGAAGTTTAAAGACTTTCTTGCCATTGGTGTGGACTTGTGTTTGATTTGATCGACAAACTTATTTATAGTCAACGGGGTGTCAAGGGTCTGTTTCTTAGTATTTGTATTAACCACGGTTACATCTTTGCTCTCATTAGTTTCAGCCGTGTCTGTTAAATTAATAACACTTTTGATTTGCTTCAGATCTGTTCCAAGATCACATTCTTTCACAGTTGAATTCTCCTTTTGTTTTCCTTTGTTGAACGAGTGACATCTGTAATGACAGAATTAATAATTAATACGCATTAAACATTAACATAATATAGGTAATTCGCAACTTTAATTAAGTGATTAATACAAACTTTTGTGGTGTCTCTTCCACAACACTGTCGCAGTCGTCGTCACTGGCTTTCAAGCATTCTAGTGGTGTTTTGACATTTTGAGACAGGGCAGGTGTTAGTGTATCTTCCATGTGCTTATGTACTGTATCTGGCATCTAAAATAGTGATTCTTTTGTAATAAAGTCATCATTATGTTTATAAATTTATAAATACATGAAATAGGTGTAAGTTTTAGTGGGTATATTACAAGTTCCAAGGTCAAATAGATGCCAACAATATTCACATTGGAAAGTAGTAACACATTCTGGTTTCAAAGGTATAGTTATGCAATAAATACTATTGAGACTGATTTCATGGTTCAAGCTGACTAATGGCATTTATGCTGATATGTATTTGGATGCCTATGTCCTCTTAATCCCAGGTGTGCCATGAGTCTGTCTGCAATTTTTATGATATCACCTGACAACAATAAAAAAGGGGAACTAACTGTCATTTTATTTATGTACTTTAAAATATATACATTTATACGTGTTAAACACAACAACAACGAGCAAACAAACTTTTTCATCACAGGAAAGTTTTCCTGATGTGGGAATCGAACCCAAAACCCTCAGTCTAGTAATCAAAGGTGGTAACTACTGTACCACAGAGGTAATCAGTACAATATTTAAAGTATTCAAATTAAATATTTCATGAACAACAAATAAGTAATTCTATTCAAAGCACTTACTTCACTATTGGTTGTCTTTTGAAATTCAGTATGATTTTCACAAACAGAAAATATATTTTCACTATCCTTTTGATTTTTATTTTCATTCACTGTTTGGGAATTGGCCAGTGTTTTGTCAGTGGTGAAGCATTCCACAATTGATCTCTGAGTTTTACTAATAAATTGATCTTGTGTAGCGGTTGTATGATTTTCTACAGTCTTTTCTAGTAAGTTGGAAGCTTCTTTGACAGTTTTTATTTTTCTTGTATCTTCTATATCAGCATCAATGTTTGCAAATACTTGATCCATAATTACATCGTAGTTGATAGGTTCACTTTCTTGAGCATCATTTTGATTAGACATTGATTTATCGTTAACAGCAGTTTCAAAAGTACCTGTACATGAAATCAGTTTGGTTTTTTTATTACTTTGTTTTAAATCTTCTTCATTTGGTTCTCTTATTCTTTTATTATTAGACTGTTGTGTTTTGAGTTTTGGAGGTGCTCTTGGTGTTAATATTTTTGAACCAATTTTCGTTTGTTGACTTAATAGTTTTACATTATTATCAGTCATTGAAGCACTGAAAATATCTAAATCATTAAGAAGTTCAATATCTGCATTTTTATCAATTACATTGGATTGATTCTCCTTGATATTATTATTTTGCTTAAAATTTTCCATATTCATATTTGATAGTTCTTTTTCCACACTTTCAGTGATATCAAAATGGGCTGTTGCTGTGTCGGCTGAAGAAGTATTGTGCTTAGTTGATACAGATTTTTTTAAGCATTGTTCAGGTATTTTTTTGAAAGTATTTATTTTTGTTGTTTGATTTTCTTGCGTTGACTTTTGTATGTTTTCTTGGTTTATGTTTTGTACTTTAGATACTAGATCATATGGCCCTAGTGTAGTTTGTATTTCACGGTCAGTATTAACTTTTAGTTGAACATCATTTTCTTTTTTTCTAATGAAAATATTAGTTACAGTATTACCTATTTTTATAGAAATTTCTATGTCATCATTTGTATTTTCTTTTGATGATGTATCAATTACATGATTTACTGTTCTTATATTTTCATCTTTTTTTTTTGGACTTTGAGGACACAGAGAACTTTTTTTAAGAAAAGGCATTGTGGTTGTTTTTGTCTTTTCATTCAATGAAGGTTTTTTTTCTGATTTGGACAAATTTTTTGTTGTATTTAAACTTGTACTAATTTCTTGTGAAAAATTGACTTGACTTGAGCTGTTATCAGTATTTCCACCAATGCCATTTAGTGCTGTAGGTATATTAATTTCTGGACTTCTTTTATCTATATTTTGATTTTTTTCATCCAAATCACAACCTTTGTTTAATTCATTGCACTTTTTTTTACTTTCAATGTTTGGAGTGTTTTCATCAATTTCACAGTTTAATTCCTGTATATCTTTCATATCAATTATATTTTCTTGTTTATTTGAAATTTGAGTTTTCTTAGCCATTTCAATCGAAACATTTAATTTGTTTCTGTTTTTTTTGTTCAATTTACTAAATTCTTTTCTCATTCTTTTAACATTATTCCAATTCTGTTTCACTACTATGGAATTTTTTTCTATATCAGAATTTGTTTCTTTGTTTTGTTTTAAAGCAAGTGCATTGTTATTTTCTGTTTTAGCATTATTGCTACTAATATTCAGATCCCTCATTCTGGAACTTCTGCGAGGGTTCTGTGTAGTGTATTCTTGGTCTTCAATTGAAAATGGCTCAATGTCCATTGGGCCTGCAATGTTTTCTTTATTTATGTATGCATCAGAATCTGGCATAACTTCAATCTTGTCCCAGTCATCTTGAGCTGCTGGTGCCGGAACCACTACTGAACAATTTTTCACAGTATTGACTTTAGTATGAACTTGAAATTCATTTGCGGACAATTCTTTATTAACAATCTTGACTGTGTCTTGTGATGATTGTCCTGAGTTTAAAGCTGAATTTGTGAACTGGTTTTGAGAACTGGCAAGCCACTCTTTGACATTATCAATTGGGCCATTTATAAATCCAGGTTGTTTTGGTGTTTCCAGTGTAAATTCATCTACTGAAATATATAAGCCATAATAAATATTTACAAAACCAATTTACCTGTAAGAATTTCGACATTTAGCTATAAATTTAACTTACGTTTAGTTTTGAAAAGCTTCTCAAATGCATTGCCTAAATTTTGTACATGTTCAGTCAGGGTGTGTAAAGGTCTGTTCAATTTTGCAGATCGACGTTCGAGCAGCGTAGCACAAATAGGGCAAGTACGTCTTTTTTTCCAACATAAATGACATAATGAATGCCCACAAGAAGCTGTTTCAGGTGCAACATAGTACTTACAGCTGTAGTGGTTAAAGAAATATCACATTAAATTAATGAAAAAAAAAGATTGCCAGTAACATGTTCATATTTCATGTATTTACCATTCCAAGCAAGTGACTTGATCAATTTGCTCCGTAACCAGTTGGGATAATAAATTGATATCTAAATCCTCAATTAACATTTTATAAAAAAAAAACAATTAAGAACATCAAAATCCCTTACAGGTTGATCGCACCTAATAATCACAAGATCTTCAATTTCAGTAATTTATAATCAGCTTTCTTGTAAAATGTGTGTGATTTTATTAATATTTTCCCGCCGGATTCTAATTTCCGAATTACGTAGTAAATATTATTCCGTCATCCCGGAGACGTCAATTTTTTTTAAATGTCAAATTCACAGCTAGGTTTCATACTTCAGTGGTACCAGCTGAAGATCTAACATATTTTTTTATTAATAACTATTATTGTTAACGACATTGCTTCAAGTTGGTTATTTACTGATATTCCTGAAGACTTTCGAGAGTAGCCCGAGAAGCTAAATCAAAGTAGCTATTTCATTTGCTTTTTCTCAGACTAAAGACTTGAAAATCTCGTATTATTGTAAATAGTACTACGGCAAAAGGCTATCTAAAATTTAATGATAGGACTTTATTGTTTTAGTAGTTTCCTTTGCTTAAGCTCTAGAACATCGGTAGGTAGTATAAATCGAAAGTATACAGGGTAGGACTACCATCTCAGTGTAAAAGCGTCCGCTGAAAAGGACCAATTAAGGTGGCGCCATAGTAGCAAGTGGAAAGATTATAAAAACAGTGTCTTATACTATTTACCACACTCCACTTCAATCCAGCACACTCCACTCTGCTATATTTATATCATTTACACTTCCTACATAAGTGCTATTTTGGTGAATTTCCCAAAAATAATTTGTTGTTTATAGGTAGACATTTTTTCAATAAGATGGTGTTTCTTACCTCTACCCTCCTTAAGCGGAAGTATGGAGGTAGAGGTAAGGAGAACCGTCTCTGTGTGTAAAAAGTGTCCATTAAAATGTGCTAAATATGGCGCTACTGTAGCAACCGGGTAAAGGACATGGGCCATTTTCGGCCCAACTACTAGTGCTCTCAAGGACACGAATGAAATATCTATAGAAAAAAACATTTCATTTTTACATACTTATTATAAAATTTAAGGGTATTTTAATGGTGGGATAATTAAAATCATAAATAAAAAGAAATTAGCATGACTAAGCTACATTGATAATATTGAAGGAGCTGCCATTGGTAAAATATATTTATATTTTAAGCAATCCACATTAAATCTTCATAAAAAATACATTACATTGCAAAAAACAATATCCACATGAACAATATTGATTTTAATTTGTTTATAATAAAAGGGATATATAGTCTGTTATTCAAACTTAATTTCATTACTGTCCTTGAACTTCGTTTAGTGGGCCGTGCAATGTATGAAGAGTGGCCCATGTCCTTTAAAATAGGGCGCTGAAAGTTATTAGAATAAGATAGAGAAATATAAAAGGACGAAAGAATTGTAAGCACTACAAAATCACAAAAAGTATTTTATTTAAAGCTGATCAGAAAATGCATTCGATGTCTCCACGTTTTACCACAGCAATCATTTTAGGGTTGTATTGACGAAATTAGTTTGGGCTACGTAAGCATGTGAGGTTTTGTTTATTACACTATCTATCACTAACTGCTCTAGTCATTCAATATATTAAATTTCCTAACTCAGCATACTTCAATCAGTTAACAACTACTCAATTCATTTCATACCCTGTGCCTATGCTAGCGCCATTCTGGAGGATTTTTGAACTGATATTCAGTGCTGAAAGAGGGACACTTTTTCAAGCTTCTCCCAAGAGACGGTAATCCTTACATCCACCCTCCATAATTATATTAATTTAATAAGTGTATTATCGATGCTTACATTTAAGTGATTATCTAGGACTTTTTGGCGGGAACGCAAGGAGTGAAGTTGTATGACTTATTTTATTTCGTCTATTTAGTGTTTTTTCAGGTTTAAATGTGTAATAACCGTGGTTTATTAACTGTCTAATACCTGTGTAAATGTGGGAAAATGAAACAAAGCCGCTGGACGTCACTTCTCGGGATCCTCCAAAAAATCCACTGAAAAAATCTCAGTAAATGACCACCATTTTACTGAGATTATATTTCATCCCATATCATCTCATCTCATCTCATTTCATTTGATTTCATCCTGGTTGATCAATGTCTCAAATTAATCATCTTCATGTCATTTCATCATTTTTCATAAAAATAAGAATAAATTAAAATAAGGTATGACTTCAAGGTCTTAGTTACCAGGTCATAAAATCCCCTAAAAAAAGTGATTATCTATGGTGTATGTCCCAGTCCTCCTGTCAGAAATCGGAAAGAAAATTGCCGAAAGTAAATTTCCATTTGTAATAATTTGAATAAAAAAAGAAAGATAATCAGGTACAAAGATGATTTATAAATTATTTCACTAGATTAAAAGGCCCAGTAAATAATTATTTCAATATACCGTTAAAATAAAGCTAAAAATTTTGTAAAATTATTACATAATCTAGTCTTGTTTTTATATTAAATTTTAGATTTTCCAAGACGATTTGAATACTGTTATTGTATTTTCAAATGGTCGTTAATGTTGAAAATACATTGTGTCTGATTCTGCTGATCAATACTTTAGAGTATTAAATAGGTTAGAATCTGGATATAGGCATAAATTGTTGCTGGGGATTGATTTAAAGTTAATGATTTTAATGTTTCTGTTAGAATGGCACTGGCATTCCGTGGTGTAATCAGAAATGTAGCTCGTCGGCTTCAAGTACGTAACTATGCAGATGCTCCCAAAGGTGACGAAATGGCATTGACCTTCGCTGCGGGTAATAAGGTAAGTTTATTTTCATTAGTGACCCCCTAATGCTATCTCAAAACTAAAAGTTTTCAATATAAATTTAAAGATGTAATGATTTTGTCTTTTATGTTAGACTGAACGTTTAATCCAATTAAATTGTAAACTTAATTTTGTATTCCAGGTCTTTTATGACAAACAAGTTGTCAAACAAATTGATGTACCATCATTTAGTGGTGCTTTTGGTATCTTACCTAAACACGTACCTACCCTGGGTGAGTGTTAATAAACTACATAATTTATTTTGTGTACAAAATTCATCATCAGAAACAATTATTTTGTATGCATTTTTAGCCATAAGGCACGTCTAGTTGCTTTATTTACAAATCTAATTGTTAATAAATGTTTTAATAACAACAGGAAATCTCAGCTTAGATTAAGTGTATTGTAATGTATATTTTTACGATTCTATGATGTAATTTTTAAAAAACACACAAATTGAAATGTTGTCCAGGCATTAATGTGAGATTCTTCAACCACCAAAAAAACTAATAAAAATCCGCTTATGCACTATATCCACAGTCTTAGATGTGGGAGTTAGATCAATACGACTCAGCAATACAGCAAGCAATTTTGCATAAGTTATATTGAACAATTTTTTCCATTTAGACTTGTAGCTTATTTTCTTATATATTTGAGGAACAGTGCTATGTACGGAATAAGCTTACCTTTAAATAATGATATTTTTATTAGGAATCTTTGAGAACCCTTGGAAAAGACTACTTGGAAACTTATAATAATTTATTTACATTTACAGCTGTTCTTAGACCTGGTGTTGTTACAATTCTTGAAAATGATGGGAAACAGAATAAAATCTTCGTATCGTCTGGCACAATTACAGTAAATGATGACTCCTCAGTTCAGGTAATGATTTTAAATTTTGAAAGATAATTATGTTCAATGGAGAGTAGATTTATTGTTTTTGTAGAGAGCATACCTGTTGCCTAATGGTGGCCTCTGATTCAATGAATGTCTTTATTGGCAAAAGCGCAGCCAATCCATTGTCGTCTACTGTAAGGTGCACATTAGTTTGGAGTATTGACATTGCCAAAAAATTCATGACTTAATAGGTAAGATGCCTAGTATACTCCTATGGTAGTCCTTGGTAGCAATTTCCATTTCACAGTGCTTGCATAAGAGAGTTCCAAAGTAATACTGTTAAAGACAATTTCACAGTATGACTTTTACTTCGCATTTCTTTTAGGTAACATACATGCCTGAGGCTCTAAAAGGATACAAGCACTGAATTTATAAAACAAACCTGGCTGATAATTGTAGATTTACTATGATTGTAGATCATAATCCACATTGATTGTATTGTAAAGGAATATTATATAGACTTTATTGGTGGTTTTATCCAGGCGTAGAGGTCTAATGACTCATTCAGTGCATTAAACGTGTCCTGAAACTTGAATGAATGGTGTTTGGGGATAAAGAGTATAGGATTGCTATGTTAAGATTTAAAGTATTGGATATTAATACAGTCTTCAAATAATTATGATGAGAATTGACTTTTTTAAATTTTAATATTGATTGAATGTAATTCTTAATTTCAGGTTTTAGCCGAAGAGGCTCACCCTCTGGAGAGCATTGACCGTAGTGCTGCACAGGAGGCCCTCAGTAAAGCACAGTCTGAATTCAATTCTGCTTCTAATGAAAAGGTATGAATAAAGTTTTATATAAATTATCACACATTAAAAAAATCTTTACATAAAAGTCAAAAGACGAAAGAATGCAACTGTTATTTTTACATATTTTTTATCACTATCATGACTGAACCTAAAGTTATCCTTGAGTTCATGGGTACTCAGAATCTTACACATCACAATACAAAGATCATAATTGATATTATAATCATTGATTAATAACAATTGATTTTGTTTGAAAAATATCACCACTGCCACTCTTAAAATGGAAAGCACAAATACTTGGTAGCAAGCGAAAAGACAGGATTGTGATACTTCTATTTCATTTAACTCTACTTTTACTTTAACTAATTATCTATTTATAAATTTCAGGCTAAAGCTGAAGCTGCTATTGCTCTAGAAGTAGCTGAAGAGATTGTGAAGGCTGCATCTGCGTAATTTTTCGAGCTACATAAAATGAGATTGAACTGTTCGCTCTAAACCATCATTATTTAATTACCTCTATGTATAAATAAAAACAATTCTCTGTAGTATACTTTTTCTTTGTATTTAAACCATATGATCTATTATGGAATTAAAATTTGGTGATGACAGAGTAGGTATTTATTAAGTTATTAGAACATTCTTTATTCCTAAAATCATTTTGTAGTCAGCAATAGTTCTTGTAAATATGCGGTGGTTAATTGCGCTTAAGAACAGATGGGTCGGTTGCCTTAATTTTCAGTTTAGTACAAACTTTTAAAATCAATACTATATAAAATGCATCAT